CTGTCCAGACTCATCTATGGGAGGCACCCTCCTCCCTTTCCAGTTTCCCCAACTGCAGGCCCAGGAGACAGATGCCTCTGGCTTTTTAATATTACTAGCTGGCTGTGAACAAAAGAACCATAAAGGACAAGACAGAGATCCCTGGGCTATAGAGTGCGGAGCTGGGCACAGGAGTTTGTGAGGGCCTGGCTTTGGGAAGGGTTTGAGATTGTTGATGGCCCCTTGAAATGAGACCGTGGCAGGAGCTGCTCTGGGCCCCAGCCATCTAAGGGGCACAGAGGCATGTCATGTTGGAAGGGAGATTTCTCAATCACTCCGTGTCAGCCTGTCGTTATCACCGGCTGCCCTGCCTAGGAATGTACAGTTCCTCACAGTGGTAAGAGAGTGCCCTTCCTGCTGAGCAGATGGAGAGAAAAATAAAAAAGAAGAAAGGTTTTGCTAAGCAAATGAAAGATGTGAAGGAGATTAAAGTGAGAATATTTAAATTACAGAAGTGTGGTGCTTTTCAAGCACGCTCAAGCAGTTCTTGAAGCACCCATTTAGGGAATGCTGATTGATAAGAGGCTATGAATTATTCTTATCTCCTAGTCCCTTGCTCTCTAGAGGGCAACACTTGGTTAACCTAATTTGAATCTAATTTAAATGACTTAAGAGTAATAACACAAGTATGTGCTTGAATCTAATAAAGCCTAATTTATTAAACAGGATGATTTGAAAAGAACTGTATGTTACAGCCAAATGGGGACTTTGATATCATCCTTTATTTAATAAATAAAGAATCAGAGTCCCAGAACAATAAAATGTTTGCCAAAGGCCAGACAGTTAGTAGCCACACATACTGGGGACTTGAACTCTGTAGCCTGCATATAGAATGGGGGAGGGAGAGCTTTGTGCCATCTCTGGGAGCCTGTGCTTCCCAGTGGGGCAGACTTAGTCCCCAAGTTGTGAGAAGTGGGTAGTGAATGAGGAATTGTTTCCATGGGGACATAGACAAGGTGGCTGGTTGACCCATGCTATAATCCTCTGTCAATGTAGCAGATGTTCTGTGGGGCTGGTGTATCAGGCAGACTTGGGATTTTTAGGCATCCCAATGGGGCTGAACCCGCTGGGGACAACCCAGGACTGAGCACATGTTTAGAAATCCTCAAACCCACAGGTTCACAGGCATTCCTCTTCACACCTTAGGCTGCGAAGCCGAGGGACCTTCCCACACTGTGCTGGGATCTCAGAGGAGGCCACTGATACGGATTGGCTTCTGTCTTCATGCTGTCCTCACGGCAGGACACCTCCCAACAAAATCTAGTGCTTAATCTAATACTTCCTTCACATTCTTATCAAAGTCTAGAACCTGTCTCATCTGTAGTAGTTCACACTTGAGCGTGCTAGGCATTGCAGTGAGCTCTGATACGTCTTCACATGTTAAATCCTAGATAATCTGATAGATGAAGAGATCGGAGAGAGCTTAATGGCCAGGCCAAAGCCCTACAGAAACCTGATATTGTGGCCTGAGAGCTCTGCTGTCTGCCTCCATAAAGAGGACCTGGAGGAGAAAGAATGGCTGCCTTCTTGGGGTTAATGCTGGCCGCTGGCCTAGGCTTTAGTCTGGATTGCCTTCCAAACCGTCCTCCAGAGACTGCGCTTTCAAAGATCTTAGGCACTTTATGGGACAAAAACCCCTCATCCTCAATGCAAATATTAAATGAAAACTGAGGCTTTATGTCTATGGAACCAGCTTTGGGCTTTGGGCAGTATCTCCAGAGAGACCAAAACACACACACACACTTCAGGCATTCCTGTATCCTGCAACTGGGCTTATAGCCTCACCTGGTTGCTCTGCCATGAAGTTTATGGCCCTTTGAACACAGATAAGTGGGCATCATACCAAGTCCACGATCAGAGTCAAGCATGAGGCAGAGCTGACTCCCGTACCCTGACCTCTGAGTGAGGTGTGCGTGTGTCTGTGCGTGTGTCTGTGCGTGTGTCTGTGCGTGTGTTTGTGTGTCTGTGCATGTATGTGTTGGGGCATGATTGGGCAGAGCTGGATCGAACTGAAAGGGCAGTGACATGTTCTTGGTTGAAGGAAGCAAGGTTATCATCAAAGGTCAAGGAAGCAAGCATTTGCCATTGGTTGATGGCCCCTGAGGCTGAGCATGTGCATTCTCAGTACTCAGTGCTTCCCTGATTCAGCCTTCTGCAGGTGGGCCTTCACCTACACTCTTAGACATTTCACTAACAACAGTGACCTCTCCATTTGTCTATCACCTTTTCGTTTCCAAAGTACTGTCTTTTACGCTTTGAAGCTTCTTAGCAACTACTTTAGAGGCGAGGACATAGGTCCAGAAAGATAAAAGGCCCTGTCCAAAAGCCACCACATCTCCCCAGGGAGCGATGGTAGGTTCTACTAGTGTTTAGGGTGCTTGTCCCCAGTATGCATTGTTTTCTCTATCAGTCTCAGTGTAAACAGTACTGGGCTCACAGCCTCGTGTACTGGAACTCCTGCACCTGTGAAAGTCATGTGTGAGGTCAGAGTGATTGCATACCGCCTTGACAAAAGCTAACGTTGACTTATAGAAAACTTACAAATATAACCCAGAGGTTATTTGGCAATAAGAGAGAATGCAGCGCTGATACATGCTACAGTGTAGATGAGCCGTGAAGGGTATGCAGAGGAAAACCGTGCCAATCAAAAGCCCACCAGACCTTCCAATTACAAGGCAACGTCCAGATTCAGCAAATGTATGAGAACAGAAGGGAGACTGGTGTGTAGAGGCCTGAGGAGAGGAGGAGTAAGAAGAGACTGACTAATGCCTGGTTTCCTCTTGAGTTGATAAAAATGTTCTGCATTAGACATCGGCGATGGTTGCGAAACTGCAGATATCCTAATCACTGAATTGCACTATTTAAGAGGGTGGGCTTGTGGAACATGAGTTACATCCCAGTAGATCTGAAGTCTAACAGAAACAGTACATCAAGTTCCGTGTACCCCTCTCCTAAGTCCCCCTGATGTTCTCAGTTGGGAAATGTCAGATTGTACCGTAGTTGTTCTGTGGAATATGGCAGGATTTTTTTAAAGGGGAAAATGTTTAAGCCAGATGTGGTAGTGCAAGCCTTTGGTCCCAGTGCTTGAGAGGAGAGGGCAGGGGAACAGGAGTTGAAGGCTAGCCTGAGCTACTGAGACTCAACAAAGCACCCATCTGGAGGGCTGGAGAGCTGGCTCAGCAGATCAGAGCTCACACTGCTCTTGGGCCCACCATGGGCAGCTCACAACTACCCATAAGGAAGCTTCAGGGGCTCTGACACCCTGTCTGCTGCTGCCACCTGCACACACACACATACCCTGCACCACGAACTACATGTATGTACAGAATGGAAATTTATGTATGTACATAAATTTCCTTATATATGAAATTGCTCACAGAAAGTAAATACAGTACATGAACTTAATTTACACAGGCTAGCAAGATGGTTTAGTGGGTAAAGGTGCTTGCTGCCAACGTGGATGACCTGACTTCCAAATCCCTGGTCCCCACATGGTGGAGAGAGAACCAAGGGCTGCTAATTGTCCTCTGACGCCCATGCAGACCTTGTGGTTTACACTTGTATGCGCATGTGCGTGCACACGTACACAATACAAATCCTTAAAGGAAACCCCCAAACCTTAATACTTGTTATTGGCAGAATTAAGGGGGGGGGGAGATTGTATGTTTGTTTTGTTTGAGATAGTCTCATGGGCCCAGGCTAGCCTTGAACTTACTATCTAGCCAAGATTAACCTTGAACTCCTAATCTTTCTGTCTCTGCTTCAAAAGTGCTAGGATTATAGGCATGCAGCACCATGTTTGGCTTGCAGTTTGTTTTTCTAACCCCCTATTTTTTAGTAGGAAATGGCACGCCATTTTTCTAATTTTTCATACCTAGGAGGAGGAGACAGGGCTGTGCTAAACTGCCTGTGCTAAACAGTTCACCTGTTTTAAAGCAGCCAGCTGGGTATTCAGATCCCATGTGCCAGGCTCAGTGGCAAATGCCTGTAATCCCAGCACTCAGGGAGGCAGAGGCAGGTGAATCTCTGTGAGTTTAAGGTCAACCTGGTTTACAAAGTGAGTCCAGGACAGCTAAGACTACACTGAGAAACCCTGTCTTGAAAAACCAAAAGGAAAGGAAAGAAAAGAAAAACGATCCCACACGGGGCCCTGTTCATCTCCTCTAAGAACAGGCAGAGCATGAGTTGCAGTTCAGAGGGATGGGGGAGATTGATGTAGAGGTCACGAACCTCAGCTCTTGTCACCAAGGGTCCTGTGACTCAGTTTCCTCACCATGAGATATTCTCTTTCACCAGGTTATCATGAAATCCACATGAGGTCATGTTTATAGGGTGCCTAATGGTGCCTACCATACAGTGGTCCCTAAATGGTGGCCATTATCATCGCCCACCAGACATTTCTCAGCTGTTTGGAAAGTGGGGAAACCGACTGTGAGAAGGGGCAGTGACCTCGATTTTGACCTAGTTTTCAGACACATATTTTGGGGGCACTCCTATGCCAAACTCTTATTCCTACTGTTAATAGCCAAAACGTAAGACTCCATTCCTAGCCTCACTTGCACAGGAGAAGTCTTCAGCTAGACTTTCCCTTGGCAAGCTGCCCTTCATGACTTCCTGTCCCCTGACTTCCTATTGTCTGGGTCCTGAGCAGCCTTAAAGAATGATAGACCTCCATGATGGTAAAGTAGTGCCCAGAAGCCCTTGTCTTGGTGACCCTGCCAGTACCGTGCTAGGCCCAGCTAGCCTTCCTTTGGATTTATGCACAAGAAAAATAAGCTTGGCCTGCTAAGGCTCTTTTCTGAGTATCCTGTAAAATGGAGTTGAGCGCTAACCAATACACTTCTCACAGAGCAGCTGACCAAGAAGGCAGGCCTGTGACTAGGAGTTAGTAGAGTGATGGAGGAGAGGACGCTGCGCCTTCCCCGGGGGTGACAGCAGCTTAGGCTGGGCCTGGAACTTACTCATCACCAATGTGGAGCCGGGGCCAGACCTCGTTGACATGCGTGTACTGGGGGCTGCCCTTCCAGAAGAGGCGCTCCAGCTCGAAGGCTCCCGGGGTGCAGTAGTCCTCAGCTCCCCCCTGGTCCTCCTCCTGCAGAGACAGCCTCTCAGCACAGGAGTGGCCACTCTTGACACTTGTCTTTGTATCGCCAGATGCCATTTTGGAGCCAAGGGATTTTCTTTTCTTTCTGCATGAAAGAGGGTCAGGATAGGGTTAGCAGGGAATTGTGGGCATTATAGAGGAGGTGATAAGAAGGGGGCTTAATTTGGTGAGTGTGTCCCTTCCCCCTTCTTGCTCACCCCAAGCCACACAGGTAAGTGAGAAAAGCCATGATGACAGTTAAACGACACTCCCCAACATTCCAGTGTTCATACAGCAAAAGTGCTGGGGAGATGAGGCAGCTTTGTAGCAGACCCAAGAGCAGCTTGAGCCTAAGAAATCCCCCTAGACAGCCTGTTCTCCCTTGTTTTTATTTTTATAATGTCCAGTTCCTCTGGTGCCTGCTTTTTTCTTTATCTGACTGGAACTTGCTAGTTTGGGACATTTTGAGCCCGAATAGTGAGGCATTGCAGGCCTCTAGCTGTCCTGAAATCTGCAGGAAGCAGCTGTCCAGCAGAAAGGGTGTGTGGCTGAGTCTAGAGCGGGTGGGGTTTGTTTCCGGGCAGCCGCACACAGAAACGAGACTTCTGAAGCCTTGGGGTGGAAAGGAAGTTGTCTGTGTGAGGGGTCAGTCATCTTAGGATAGGTGGGGTGCACATTCGTGGCTCTCTGTCATGCTGGAAATCTGGCTGTTGCTGCCAGGAGGTCAAAAGAAATGTCCCCACTAGACAGCTGTCTGCAGACTGAAAACTGTTTCGGGACAGTTTGTCAGATTCTGTTGGTGGGATATGGAAGAAATGTTTCCATTGTGCCCAGGGAATCTTGTAGATTTGACAAGTACACCCTACCCTTATAACTGCTCATCCAATCCAGCTCCAAATCCGAGGATTCAACCAACCAAGGATCAAACAAGAAAAGCCTGTATCCTGAACATCTCTTTTGATGTTACTCCCCAATTTACATAAAATTAACATACTGCATATACTGTATCAGGTATTGCAGCTACGTCAGAGATTATTTAAAGTCTCGGGGGGGCGGTGGCATCCGTATGCGGATATTGTGCCCTTCCCCCTTTTGATATAGGGTCTCATGTAGCCCAGGCTGGCCTCAGATTTGCCATGTATGGAAGGGTGATCCTGAGTTTCTAATCTTTTTGCTTCCACTTCCACAGTGCTGACATCAAAGGCCTGTACCAGCACGCGCAGTTCCTAGGGTGCTAAGGTCAAACCCAGGGCTCTGTGTGCTCTAGGCAAGCTGTCTCCCAACGCAGCCATTTGTGGACTTTGCACCCTGAGGGCCTGGAAGCGCCCCCACTACTGAGGGAGGACTGCTCTTATGTAGCTCTTGTTTTGTGACCTGGTGCTGCTGTTCCAATTTCTTTAAAATCGCTAACTCGGTCTTAAGTCTGTGAAAGGCACCATGACACCCACTTTTCACATGAGAGGAATGATAGCACTGAAGACAGTTGGCACATGCAGCTTCAGTCTGCTGAAAGGGAGGACTGTGGAGACTACTGTGATGGAAGACGTCAAAGACTATTGGAAAGGTCGGGAGCTTCAGAGAACATCAGGATCAAACAGTACTCGGAATACAATTTGGAAGGCTCACACTTCTCGGGAAAGGACATTCTGGACATACAATCTAAAAATAACTCCAGTGGATCCAAACACATTAAATGTGCAAATGGTAATATGCTTAAAACAGGTTCACAGTCTAGAGGGGTCGCTCAGCGGTTAGAGCCCGTGCTAGTCCTGCAGAGGACCTAAACTCAGTTCCCAGTGCCCACATGTTGGGTAGCCCACAACCACCTATGACTTGAGCTCCGAGGGGGTCTGTTGCCCTCTTCTCGCTGTTGCCAGCACCCAGTTCATGTGTGCATTCTACACACATGCAACACATGCACGCACCCTTAAAAATAAGCCATTCTTTAAGATTTATATGTGTACAGCGTCCTGCCTGCGTGTGCGCCTGCAGGCCAGAAGAGGGCACCAGATCTCACTATAGATGGTTGTGTGCCACCATGTTATTCCTGGGAATTGAACTCAGGACCTCTGGAAGAACAACCAGAGCTTTTAACCTCTGAGTCAGCTCTCCAGCCCCTAAAAATAAATCTTTAAGATGGACATGATAACAGTTTATTCTGTCATGTGGGAGGCAGAGGTAGGCATATCTCTGAGTTCCAGAACAGCCTGGTCTACAGAGCTAATTCCAGGACAGCCAGGAGTACACAGAAAAAACTCTGCATTAAAAAAATATATACATGGTAAAATATTCACAGGTAAAATGATGTAATGTCTAGAATTTATATTAAAAACAATACAGTTGGAGGACCAACGAAAAGGCTCAGCAGGTAAAGTTCTTGCCATATCAGCCTGGAGACCTGAGTTCAATGCATCTGTACATATAGAATAGAAATATAGTTGGATAAATGTACAAAAATACAATATTGCAGGGTAGGGTATGGATGGAGGTGTGTGAAGCAGGATTGGCTAGGAATGATGGTTGGCTCTGGATGATGGTTGCAAAGTAGCTACTGTTTCTCTTTGTGTATATGTTTTAATTTTCAAAAGTGCTGGACACAACGGTACATACCTATGATCCAAAATATTCCAGTAGGCATCTAACAGTTGAGGTTGAGACCCCAATCTCTGAAGAAAAATTAAAAATTTAAAGGGCAACGAAAAGACCAAAACCATTGTGTCAGGGATTTAATTCTCCCGGGTCCACAAGAAGTCCGTGAAAAGATCAGTAGCCAACAGTGTCTGCCTATGGGGCTAGGGAGAGGCCAGGCTTTGTGATTTGTTACGACAGCTCCTAGTGTGGGGACTATGTTACTGCGAGGGGGAGCCTGCCGATGTGGTTGGAAAGGCCATCTGTTCTAGACTCACTGGCACCAGCTGAAAATACAGATTCTGGGGGTGCACACTGGGCAATCTAACAAGCTCCCAGGAGACTCTATGCTCCTTGACAATTCATAATAATTGACTGCCATGTGGCTGAAGAGTCAAGAGAAGAGCTGGAAAGGGCCCAAAATGCCTTCTATTGTCTCAGTGAGGTGGGAACAGGTCACTGGTTCTCGTTGCAGATGCAAGCCTGGGAGAGGAAGGACCACCCAGATGAGGGTTCCTAGGTCTCCTTCATCTCTAAAGTAAATCGATGGAATGATGGGTGAATGAATGAATGGATGAATGGACAAGTGAGAGGAAGGAATGGCAAAGCCTGTGGGGCCTGGCTAAGGACTCGGCGGAGCGTCAGAAGCAGGACAGAGGCGCTGGGGACCTGCCTGGCTGCAGGGCAGGCAAGTGCAGAGCATGGCGTGGACTGTGCCTCTTCCCCTGGTGGCTGGTGAGACCTGAACTTGACTCTTGGGCCTGCTGCTGGGTTTTCCGGTGGAGGGCAGCACTATTGCAAGGCCTGGCTGAAGCTTCTCTTGCAGGGACCAGCCCAGAACCTTCTAAGTTCGCAGTTACACCTTTCTTTAGGCCTACAGCAGATTTAATTACAAAGACCCGCTGCTCAGTGTAGGAATGGCGCTTGCTCCTCTTATTTTTAAGTTAGGCATCACATTCCCTAATACTGTGGTTTTAGATCCCTTTGAGTCCTGCTTGTCACTAAGAGGACTTAGTAAGGTGCGATTTTAGGGAGATGCTAGAGCCCATTCAGCTGTGGAACCTCCATCTGCCTCCTTTGCCCACTGAAGCTGACCGCACCCTTGGTGAGGCATCTTTCCCCTCATTAGGCTGTGGAAAGAGCCATCCCTGGCCCAGCTCTGCATTAAAACCTTGGCTGCATTTCCAGACAGAAGAGGAAGTGGCGTGGTGTACGGCTTGGCACTTAGAGGGGGCTCTGGGATCTATTATCCTCCATCGAGATGCAGGGAAGAGAACAAAGCATGGGGCTGTCCAGAAACCACAGACCTGCAATCTTTCCAAAGCCCGAAGACGGCCTGTGCAGCCCCAACCCCTCCCGCACAGCCCTCAAATCCCTCATTTCTCTAGAGGGAGGGCGAGCCTGTTTCCCAGATCACAGCCAGAAGGGAAGGGGGAGGGGAAGACAGATCTGTTCTGTTTGGTTTCCATAGATTCGACCCAGAGATTAACTGCCAAGGTCTCCATGACACACCATACCAATCACAGGCTAAATGTCATAATGAGAGCTGGGCAGGCTGTCAAGACAGGCTTCCAGATTCCTGTTACAGCTTCATACTTAAAGACGTGGACCCGAGGAATCAAGTGCCAGCTCTGAAGGTTCTTGGCCTGTGTGAGCATCCTTCTCAGAGAAACAGAAGCCAACTCGGGCTCCTTCACAAAGGGGACAGGTGGCTGACATAGCCAGCACGGTGGAGGGAAGTCGTTGGACACTAAAGAACAGACACTTGATGATTAGTGGTGAGCAAGAGACAATAGGGAATAGTGGGGACTGTGGCACACTAAAGTGCCCCCTCCGATACAGGACAGCAATCTGTCATTCCATGCAGGAATGCAATGCAGATTTTCTGGTGCTGTTTAAAGATGCACATATCTTCACATTTTGTCCGCTTTTGGGGAGATGCATGTCATGGTACATGTGTAGAGGCCGCAGGACAGACAGTGGAAGGCGGTCCCCTTCTCCCACCATTTGGGTTCTGGTGAACTCAGGCTTGGCAGCAGGTATTTTTTTAACTTCTTTTTATTTTATGTGCATTGGTGTTTTTGTCAGGTCCCCTGAAACTGGAGTTACAGGTAGTAGTGAGCTGCCATGTGAGTGCTGGGAATTAAGCCCAAGTCCTTTGGAAGAGCCAGCTCTCCAGCAAGCATTTTTACCTATTGAGCCATCTGGCTGATTCCTAATCTATTAAAATATATTTTCATTATGTTTGTGCACACGTGTGTGTTCTCTTGTGTGTGTGCACATGCGTGTGTGCACAGAAGTGCTTGCTTGCTTGCATGGATGTGTTTGGACGTGTGCATGTGTTGTCAGAGGACAGCTTGTGGGGATCTGATCTCTCCTCTACCGGGGTCCTGCGCAATCAGGCGCAGGTTGTCAGACTTGCCAGCCAGTACTTTTAGCCGCTAAGCCATCTAGCCAGTCCAT